GTCGCATTCCAACGTAACATATTTCCGTCATTTTCATTAATAACTCAATAATTACGATAATTTAGTGAACTTTTAGAATCAAAGAATAAAGTATGAACCTTCAGCAACTTTCTCGTATAGGTTTGAAGACCCTAGCTTTCTTCAGTAGTTAATTATTAACAATTACTGTGCAGTGTGTCGGTAGCGATACCGCACGCTGTTCAGGTTTTTCATTAATTTCGTAGCTTTATGCAAATAATTTATGCACTATCATACATGCGTTCGAAAGGCTATTCCTTTATCTACATTCTCGTTGCATTTTCATTAACATATCTGTCGTAATATGTAAGATATTAAACATTATTTGCGTAAGTACTACACTCGTCGTATTCAGGCGTCACACATTTTCGTTATTTGCATGAATAAGAATGATTAATTTTGTACTTTCACACATGTAGAATATAGTATGGACTTCTTGCTATGTTCTACAATAATTTTCGTAGCCATAAGTGATGTGGTTTATTCGATATTAGCAATTGTTTACAACAGTCCGGTATACTCGAGTACGATGAATAGGTGACGCTTCCATATAACGTTTAATAACTCCTAAACTAAAGCGAATATGTTAATAGAAATTATACGAGAATGTAGCCAAAAGAGTTGCCGTTCAGATGTGTATAGTTAATTGCACGAGAATTTAGTAGAAAGCTGTGAAATTATTGTAAAGCCGTAAAGATACTTAACGGTGCGCGGTGTCGTTTCCGACATTCCGCATTAAAATGGTTAATAACTAATTATTGAAAGAGTTTAGAGCACTAAAAACTATATGTGAAAGTTACCGAAGGTCCACTCTTTATTCTTCAATTCTAAAAGTTCACAAAATCATCGTAATTATTGAGTTATTAATGATTTTTCACAGGACCACGTGGCTGAGGCTCTGGGGGGGGTGGAGCTTTGCGGGCCGCGGGCCAATAGGAAGCGCTTTCTCTCTATCCTTGTCGCACACTAGTGCTTTCCTTGTCTAATACCTCTGTTTATATTCTGTGTTCCTATTAAAAAGTCTTAGTCGCGTCACCAGACACGAGATGACGTTGTCTCGCCCACGCTTCTTTCTGTCCTTGTCTATCCCTATATCTTTCTTCGTCTAACACATTACTCTAATGCTATCCTTCTTTACCCCTATTTCTTTCCTTGTCTAACTCATTTCTAGTACTATCCTTATCTACCACTATTCGTTTCCTCGTCTCTCTTAGCTATTGGAACTGATGTTGGAGTCCTTTCCTTGATTCCTGTTGTGGCCTGAGAGTTTCATCTGTAATTTACACTATGAGAACAATCTTTAATGCTCAATGAAAGTTATGAACAATTTCTAACTAATCTGCTGCATGCAATGGTAACATACAGGGCAATTCGTTGAAATAATTTTCCTTTATCCCCTATTCAATTTAGTGTTGTTCGATACTTGATTCTTATCGGATTTTGGGATAAACAATTGATACCACGTATCGTTACTGGACTGCTGGATTTTGGAATGAACGATTGAAAGTACACTGATCAATGATGACATAACTTAATTTTATTTTAACCGAATAATTCTTTTCAATCAATGTATACATTTATCGTGGGAAATTGATACATTTGTGAAAAAGAAGGACACCAAGGGCAAACGACAGAAGAATACGCAGAGAGAACAAAAACCAACGAAACTATGTACGGGAAATTTTCAGGTTTTTTTATTTTTTATTGCTATAATACAATTTGATTGTTGTGTAAAATCTGTTGTAATATACTAAAAAAAAAAAAAGTATCTATGCTTACATTATTAAGGAATAAAACGCGGAAGCATAGCACAATAGAACAGAACAACAACCCTATTGTGAATGTTAGATTATCTTTATTATTACATCTGTTTAAAAGACATAACTTATTTATAAAAAATATGAGGATCGGGGGGGAGGATACCGGTGGTAAAGGGACAAGGGCAGTAGGGGGAGGGCAGGATATAATAGGATCGAACAAATCCTTAGTTTATGGAATAGTTAATACTAATAAAACTCAGTACTTTTTACAAGTTACAAGGAATAACAAGATCTATCATAATAATTGGGAGTTTCTCTAACTTATCGTAGATAACTGTAAATTGGAGCGTGTAACTTATCTATCGTTTCTTTCGCTTTTCTATTCGTCTCTCGTTCTTAACACAGTGAAGAGAAATAAACCGGCGTGTCACCCAGAGTCTCGTGTACTCTAATTTTGAACACATTGACAATGCTTGTTTAATTACACCCGTTTAACAATCTCCGATTTACGTACAATCATCATCTATCTCCTTTACGTACCGATTACACAGTTTCGATGCTTTCCGACAGATCATACTGACCGCAAAATATCAATTCGTTCGCGCAACAATATTCATCGAAAAATTCTATCGCACATATTTATTGTCTGAGCTCACATCGGATCTTTTACAATATACTATTATAAAAAAAAATATTAACATATCTCTTGATATATTCGTCATT